TGTTTCTGCCTCTGTACAGCAGAGAAAATACCTGTGTCCCAGGTAAGGCACTCAGAGTATCTTTTACAGAGTCCAGAAAGCATTAGGCTTCCTTCACCTTGGGAGAAGGGCAGCTCTTGGCTTTGCAGTGTGTGTGTGTTTTGAGGAGATGCAGATTATGAAACAGATTTGTGATTTTGACATGTAATATACAAATATGGTTCAAAGTTAAAAATTTTCAGCCTGATTTCATTTCTCTGATCAGATGGAGGTTTATTGTTCTGATTTCCATGCTGAGAGGGCAGCAAGAGAGAAGATCCACGAGGAGAAGGAGCAGTTGGCTGTCCAGCTGGCATACCTACTAAAAGAGCAGCAAAACTTTGAAGACCTTGGCCGGTGAGAACAGAATTTGGCTGAACTGCCTTTGCACTGTCCTGTTACTCTGTTCTGGTGTTGACCAACATTGTGAGCATCTCAGTAGAAAGGCAAATAAATTTGCAGACATTTCTTGCTTAATTTGAATTTAAAAGGAGAAAAAAAAATGAATTGCCTGACTTCTCAATTTTCTGTGTGTAAAATGTGTTAGTTCTTAATTGAGTAGTAAGTTTTCATTTCAGATAATGCATGCTTGGTAAATTCTCTCTGTTGATCCATGTGAGTTTCTTTGGGTTTTGGCCTCAGTTTTAGCTGTGAATCTGCAGCTAATCTTCCTGCATGTGTGCCAGGGATATCTGCTGCTTCTCCAGGAGGCAGTGGTGAATACACAGTTCTGAGTACTGTGGTAGTTGAATCAAGTTATGTTTCACATTAACTGCACACTGAGTCATTTTTATGGTATAACTTGCTTTTCTACTTAAAGCAAATCTGCAGTTTTCCCTGAACAGCTGAGAGTCCTTGGAGTTTTGCAGAGAAGGGTGCCCTGGATCCTTAGGTGTGTGGCTGCCCAAATCCTGCTGCTGGTGTCACTTGCATGACCCTGTTTTCAGCAGACCTCTGGCATGATCTCACAAAGCAGTGGCATTTCTAGGCCCTGTTTCTGAGCAGCAGTTGTGAACTAAATGCATGACCAGTTGACAGGAGTCTGTTTTCAGAGCCCTTGACCTGTTTATTACCCACAGAAGCTCTCTGGCAGAGATGCAGAGTCGCCATGGAGCCAGGATGCCGGATCAGGAGCGCTCACCTCACCTTGTCCAAAGAGGTACTGCAGGCACCTTCTCCAGCCCTCAGGGGCAGGTTCAGGTTACAGCAGCTCTGCTTGGCTGCAGACAGCTTCCCTGTGGTTATCTCTCTGCAGAGAGCAAAATAAGGTAATACAACAGTTCATCATTTATCTTCTCTGCTTGCAGGAACGAATAGTCAAGATTGGCCAGAGCAGCGGAATATTTCTATTTATGCATGTCCTAAATGTGAAGAAATCCTACCTGATTTGGACACACTGCAGATTCATGTTATGGACTGCATTAATTGAGTGATGCCCTCCAGTTCTTTGTCTTCTGGAATTTTACCTGCCAAACACTTGGGAGTTTTTCCTTCTTGCTCAAATAATGCTCAGCTCTTATATCCTATGAAGGAGATTTTCAGGAGTTTGCTTTGCTAATTCAATGGGAAAAGGGTAAAAACTCTTCCCATGTCCTGTAGTGACTAATCTTCTTGTAATCTGCTTTAGGGAAGGAGTTTTCATAGATTAACAACATGGATGTGGTACAGAACTTGCAGTGTGTCTGCTGCTATGAAACCTTTCAGGAACATTCCCCTGAAGTGCTCTGCTCCATGGCTACTCTGCAGAACAGGGCTGAATCACTGAAATCAGGAGAGATGAGATATTTGCTGATCAAATATATATATATATAAAATAAATGTGAGCCTGTAAATACTTCATCTCTTACATACTATATACCAGGAAAGTAATACACAAAAGAAGCTGTTTGAGGAGCTTTCAGCAAAATGGAATAGTGCTGCATTCATCGAGAATGTGAAGTGAACCCTGATGTTTCTCCAGATGGCCATTTCATTGCTGCCCTTGTGACCATACTAATCTGATGTTACATTTTTGATGGCTTATGTAACTCCTTGCTTTAGCCAGATGTGGGTAAGGTTTAAAATGGATCAGCTAGGTCTGATACATGTAGCTCCTGCTGTACTCAAGTCACTTGGTTTTATAGAACTGTTCATTTTTATGATGTTGTCTTAATTTTTCTTTATTATAATACAAGCATTTGAACTTGTACAGTATTGTGGTGGAAAGCACTGAGATGGATGTAACCTAATTTAAAAAGAGTATAGTGGATTTTCACGTATCAAAATAAATCTACTATAATTATGAATTTATCTGTGCCTGTGAGTACGTGGGAGACTGGAACAGGATTTCAAATTCCCATGTCTGAAAAGCTTGTGTAGAAACAACTGTAGTGGATTAGTTCTATTCTTGTCCTCCCAGGTGTTTTTATCTCAACAAGAAGGAGAAAATCCCTTTTTTGTCGTTGTAATTTGAGTAAGTTTTTTACTTTGCTTGTTGTCACTGTTGTTTTAATTATCACTTTTAGACTCTGGATTCTTGTTTTCTGTTATAGCTCATCTATAGCTTCATCCATAATTTCAGGTAACACAAGAGCTGATGTTGTGAGTAGGTATTTATCAGCCTCCTTGCAACCTTCTTCATCAATTACAAGTAGATGCAATATCTTACTGGCTTTTAACTGGTTCCTTTTGACAGTAGGATTTATAGGCTTTTTTTTTTTTACTCTGAATCCAGTTTTATTATGGGAGTTGTGACAGTTACAGATTCTGCAATGATCAAAATCTGATGGAAATGCTACTAGGCCAGAAGCAAACTAACAGAATAATAGAGCTGATTTCATCTGAGAAGTATTAACCTTAATGAAAACACAGAAAATCAATGTGAAAGGCCGAAGAAGGAATAACTTATGCATTTGTCAAATCAAAATGAATCATCTGAGGAGGTTTCAGAGAGAGGGGATGTTAGCACAGGGGTGCTAAGAGGAAAACATGGGCATTAGATGAAATAGGTCTTCACAGAAAGATAAAAGAGCAGGTCTAATAGCACAAATCAGGAGGGGCAAGGAACTGCAAAGAATAAAGCCACAATACACTGAAACCTGTTCATGCTACAGGGAAGATTATTTTTTACTGTCATTACTTAGTGCAGTCCAGCAATGAGCTTGTACATCCTCAGAACTATTGTTCACAGAATTACAGTTCTACCAAAGAAAACTTGACCAACCTACAAAATTTTGTCCACTGCACGTGACAATAACAAGGATTGAATTTGAGGGTGTAAAACAAGTGTTGACATTGTTTAGGTTGTCCAGATGAGGATGGCACCTGCTGTGACCCCTCCCTGAGGCCACTCTGCCCAGGCATGGGCAGCCCTGCAGCCAAATGGGCTTACCCAGAGCCTGGATCAGGAATAATGTGTCAGTAGGAGCAGGACTGTGATTCTTTCCTCTGTAGTGGGCATTGGTGTGGCCACAACTTGAATGCTGTGCCCAGGTCTGGCCCCTCAGCTCAGGAAGGGCACTGAGGGGCTGGAGAGTGCCCAGAGAAGGGCAATGGGGCAGGGGCTGGAGCACAAGGCTGAGGAGGAGCAGCTGAGGGGGCTCAGCCTGGGGAAAAGGAGGCTCAGGGGGACCTTTTCACTCTCTGCACCTCCCTGACAGGAGCCAGGTGGGGGTCGGGCTCATCTTCCAGGTTACAGGATGAGAGGACATGGCTTCAAGCTGCATCAGGACAGGTTTAGGTTGGACAGTGGGAGCACTATCTTCACAGAAAGGATGGTTCCACATTGGAGTGACCGTCCCTGCAAATGTTTAAGGAAAGTCCGGACATGGCAGTCAGTGCCGTGATCTAGTTGACAGGTAGTGATCTCTTATAGGTTGGACTCGATAGGACTTTTCCAATCCCATCGATTCTGGGATCCCCACGCCGCCATCGCCTCCCTCAGGGGGCGCCCGCCCCTTCCCCTCCGCCCGCCCACAGCCGAGATGGCGCCGGCAACGCCGCGGCTGCCAGCACTAAAGATGGCGTGAGCGCGCATGCGCGGGAAGGGGCGGGGCCGCTCCGAATTCTGGCGGGTACTGGTGGCGGCGGGAGCGGCGGTGAGCGGGGTGTGTGAGGGGAGCGGGAGAGCGCGGGGAGCGGAGCCATCCCGGGGCACACGGCGATCCCCGGGCACACGGAGCGATACCAGGGTATGGAGCCTGAGCCGAGGGTCGGGGAGCCGCAGGAGAGGGAGCCCCACAGGCGGTCGAGGTTCTGGGTGAGGGAGGCGGCCGAGCGAGGAGGGAACCGTGAGGGGAAAAGCGCGGGATGCGCGGTGGTCACCGGCCTTCCCTGCTCGCGCGGGTTAAGCAGTGTTGCTGCAAATGAATATTTTGGAGCATGAGGAAACTATCAAAAGCGGGCGAAACAAAAAATTCTGCAGCAGGAAGGTCTGTAAGCATAGTTCGAGTTTGGGTTTTTGACTCATTTGGCCTCAGTGGATATCCCATCTTTGTTAGCCAAGCTTCCCTGGCCCATTCATGCCCGGCCGTGCTGATTTATTTTTTCACGGACCTATGGAGAAGCTGTGAGAAACGCTTTGAGAATAACAACTGTTAGACTTTAATAACTAATTAAATGCTAGTTGTAATTATGATATACTCAGTGTAATTGAGTGAGGTGGAAATGGTTATTACTATGAGAATGTAGTAGGCATTTCTTAAATTCTGTGTCTGTAATGGGCTTTTTTATATAAAAGTAGTGTCCTTACACTGCAGCGGGTTCAGCATGGGTCAGAGTTTCGATGTAGAAAATGTATGTGGGGGTTTTAAATTGAGTGGAGTTCTCATCCGTGGCTCTAAACAAAACCAGGCTCCTTATTTGACAACTTGCAATCTTATAGCTTGAACACAATAACAATATATATTTCTAGATAGGGTACATCTACTTTAACAGTATCACTTTTGTTCTCATAACAGAATATTTTTGCCTTGAGGAGCTCTTGAAGAAATTCTGGTGAAACTATGGATGGTAAGGGAGAAAATTCTCTTCCTTTGGCTGGGAAACTTTTCTTCTTATCAGCCTGTTAGCTAATAAGTTCAGGCTGGCGAGGCTTTTAGCAAAGAAATTAACACTCCACTGAGTTTATTTGCTGAGTCCTTTGAGGTTGCCTCTTGCTTTCTTTATTGTCACTTTTCTGTTAGGCTGCTCTTTGCCTTCCCTGGTTTGGTGTTTTCCTCATCAGCAAAGGCTAAATCAGTTTCTTGGTTTGCTCAGATTTTCATTCCTGCTCTGTCACATTCCTCTCTCTGTACTTATCTTTTCTCCATTTTTGTCCCTATTTCTTTGTTCTCTACTTTTTTCTGGGAGCAAACTCTATGCTATGAGATGCTTTGTTGCCTGCCTTGCACATCCCTCTTCCCCTTCCTTTGGCAAAAGCCACATGACTGTCTCTGTTGGCTACATGTTTACAGGTTCCAGGCTTTTCAGTGTAACAGCAGCTGCTGTTCAAGAAACTGCAGAGGAGGAAAAGCCAGTGCTGAGCAGGTGGCAAGTTTTCTGCTGACTTACCAGCCTGTGCCACGAGCTGAGAGCATCTGCAACTGCATTTCCATCTGGCCTCACAGCCAGAAGCTGCTCTAGATGCCTTTAGATAAACCTGAAATGTGTTTTTTTTTAAATGCTACTTGCTGCTCTGATTTAGTTTCAGTTGTCATTAGCCTGTAATCAAGGTGTCTTGGATGTTTTTTCCTTAGCAGATTTTCCTTCACTTGACAGAAATAACTCTGATTTTTGCCTTAGCTGATGATGACTTGGATCTGCTGGCTTCTCTTCTGGAAGAAAATGAAGCACCTGAGGAGGGGAACTCTCCTGAGGAGGAAGATGCTCCCGAGGATGAAGATGGAGAACCAGATGAGTACGATGAGCTCTTTGATGCAGAAGATGATGCATCCTACACTGAGGAGGCTGATGCTGAGGACAGCACGGTTGATGAGCAGAAGGAGAACTTGGCTATGCTGTTTGGAGATGTAGAGGACCTGGTGGAAGAGGAGGAGGCAGAGAAAGCTGTCCCCACTTCAGCTCCCAGTCAGGCAAAGGAGAAAACCAATGAAGAACTGCAAGGTTTCTGCAACAGCATCTTTGATCTGTTTTGTTGATATATTCTGTCTTTAGAGAGCTAGAGAGCAGGAGGTATGGCCTGCCCCTTCTTGATGAGGGCTGGAGAGGAAATACTGAAAGGCCTTGTGAAAGTTTCAGCACCCAGTGGCCAAACTCACCAAACCTGTTTTCCCAAAAGAAAGAGAGGATTTAACTAAGCCAGGGAGACTGAGAGAGCTGTGCCTTGTCTGATGCAGAGCAATATTGCCTCAGTCTTCAGGGCATCAGATATCATCCTGGCATCTTTCACCAGCACACCAGTCCCTTCCCCCACAGGATTATTGCCAGGAGGTTCTGCCCCACTAGTGTGGAAGCAGAGCTGGTCACAGCTTTCCTGTGTCCAGGCTGTGTATTTGATTAGATAAGGAAGTACTTTGTGCTAAGGAGTGCAATCATCAGCCATTTAAATTGTCTCATGGTGAGCAGAAAAGTTTGATTCAACATGGGAATGAACACACCACAATTAAGTAAAATATTTTTATGAGAGGACTCAGCTCCAGGCTCTATAGAAAAGTTTGCCTTCACTATGAGTTATGTAGAATCAAGTAAATCTGCATTATGACTCAAGTCTTCATTAAAGTTTCCATGATGCAGTAAAACTGCCAGACTTCCAGGGATCTCATAAATCCCTGTGTGCAATGGCTTCCTGCTGTCTTCATTATTATCCTTTTTCTTCTCCTTTTTTTCCTAGCTGAGCTGAGAAAATTGCAAGAGCAGATGAAGACGTTACAGGAGCAGTTGCAGAAGACTGCTCTTGGGCAGCAATCCAGTTCAGGCCCTGAGAAGAAAACCCCTGGTAATGAAACTTAATTAAATGGATTTATGATTTATTGGCTTACCCATGTGAGTTTACAGGCAGGACACTTAAAGTAATCCTGAAGCAGGCACTAAGTAGCAAGGAGGAGTGGTGATCTGGTGTGTTCCCACACAGGTTGTTTCTTACAGCTACAAATGAAATCAGTTTTGGTCTCTGCATTGTGGGTTAATTCTGCATTGGACAGGTTTCATGACAAAGTGCTCCAGACTCTTCTGGAGGTGTCCCTTTTTACTGGCAGATGTTGGTACACCCAGTATATGCAGCTGTGTTTGTTGCTAGAGTGTGCTGGATGTAGTAATGAAACTTCATGGAAAGATTGCAAAGCAGGGGATGTTTCTACTTTCCACAGCTTTGAGGTTGCAGTGACATCCAAAGTCTTAAGCTGTCATGGGGAAGAGTCTTTGGCACTTTTTCAGCTGTTGCATTTCAGCTGATAACTTGGCTGAAAGGTTTCCATGTGGGGCACTGACTTGGACTTGTTATTCAGGAATTACACAGTTTGGAGCAGTGCTTAGAGTCTAAGTGCAAATCCTGAGGTCTCATAGTTTTTTGTTCCCTTGGCCAGGTAAATCTCCCTGTCCACCCTTAAAGGAAAGAAAAGTTCAGAAGCTGCAAGAGTCACCATGCTTCTCAGCCCAGCTGGGCAATCCTTTACCACCAGCCAAGCAAGGAAGGCAGAAATCAAAAGCATCCTCAGCAGGTACCATTCCCAGTCTACCTTTTACTAAAACCACTGAGCTTCTGTGGAAAGGTTATAGTTCCCAGCAGTGGTGTGGACACATCCAGGGCAGTGTTATGCTGCTCAGTGCATCAGCAGTGATCTGGTCACAGTGTCAGAGAGCTTGTTCATTAATTATTAAGGTAATTATTGCATTCTTTGTAATGGGAGCTATGCCTTTTTTCTTCTGCTAAAGAGAACAAGATTCCTCCTCCACGGCAAGTCCTCAGTCTGGCGTTCCAGCCTCTCCAGTCTGCCGTAGGGAACACCCCCAGTAAGGTGACCAGAGAGAAGACTCCTCAGGTGCCTGCATGCTCCAGCACAACCACACAGCCAGTGTCTGTGGAAACCTTCTCAGGACTGAGATTAAGGTCAGCAGCCCAGCTCTGAGCCCTGTCTGGGGACAACCCCTCCAGTAAAGGCAAAGAAAACACCATGTATATATTAACCATGTCAGATTAGTCACTTGTCATCAAGGGATGTAACACAAAGCCACAGCACTGGCTGGTAATCAGCAATCATGTAACAGTGACTTTTGGCTTAGTACCATGTTTCTGTTTTCACCTCTGTTCTTTTCTAACAGAAAAGCTCTAATTGCATTAGCACTGCCTTTCCCTTGATATCCTCAGTGGCAGAGCAGGGAAGCAGTGGCCATGTGCAAAGCCCAGCTGAGCTCCAGTTGAGCCAGATTTTGCTGCACACAGAAGCCTCAGGAGCCACTCACCATCCCTATACTCAGTGTGGCCACAAGAGGACTCTGAATCCTCACGGTGTCCTCACCAGAACCAGAGCTGCATTCCCAGCTCAGTCAGCCATTCCTGGTTAGTCTGAAATAAGCAGAGTTCAGGTAGGCTTGGGGCTGAGTTGCAGTGCAGCGTTATCAGTAGCTTTCTGATTATGGGGGGTTTTATTTCAAGTGAACTCAGGGTGAACCAAGGCACAGAGGTGTTTTGCAGGAAGATGATGTCTCCCCAGGGAAGTGCTGGTTGGTTTTCATTGTGCATTGGTGCCAATGGATGTGTTGTCTTTTACCTCTTTCACTGGATGTAGAAAACCCCGGGTGTCTTCAGCTGAAATGGACAGGAAAATGGCCAACAGGAAACTCATCCGACTGTCTCAGCTGAAGAGCAAACTTGCTACTGAGAATCTGGAGGAAATAGACTGGGTAACATTTGGAGTCATAGTGAAGAAGGTCACTCCTCAGAGTGCAAATAATGTAAGTAACATCACTGTATCCCCTGCTCAGTTCAAGTGAAGTGCTGGTGGTGTTTCCTGAGAAACTTCCCTAGATCTTCACCTTAATCAGCCAACTTCATGAAGTGTGGGACTACCAGTTGTGGGTTCCTCTGGGTCTGGATTGAAGGCACTTGAGATGGCAGTTCATGTTGGGACTCAGCTGTTTATTATTTCTTATCAGTAAAACAGTGTCACTGCTGTGAGTTGGGCACCTTTTCATTAGAAGGCACAAAATGGCCAACAATCTCTTGTTACAAGGTCCTTTAAGACTAAACTATTCAATTAAGAACTGACACCCAGATTATTTTCCCTTTTACCCCAATAACTGATCCCACATAGCTGCAATGGGACTTTCCTGCCCAATTACAAAATGCCACCCAAACCCATGGAGAAGAAGGAAGAAGAAGCATGAAGAAGAAATCCAGGATGACACCCTGTGCCCTCCATCTTGCTTCTATCCACAACATACTAAAAATCCCAAAACCTAAATTTCTCACCAAGTGATGCACCTACACTACTCTCTATAATCTGTTGCACACTTTTGTGGATTCCAGTCTATCCTGAAGTCTAGGAAACTTTCTCCCTGAATGAGGGTCAAAGTCAGTGCTCCCCTGGGGGTCAGGGCACCCCAGAGCAGACAGAAATATTCCCGGTGCCCTGGGTTTCCACAATGTAGTTAATGGAAAACTTCTGTAGTAAAGATCTTGGCTTGTCTGGTTTCATCCAGTATTGTTTGTGTCCTGTAGAAACTCATTGATGAAAGAGATCTGGATAAGCCATGGTTTTGTGTGTTCAGTGGGGTAAAAACCTCTTTATTCAACAAACAAGTGTGCTGCCCAGTTTGATATCAGAAAGGTTGGTAGGGTAGGAGCAGAATTATTTGCTATTTTGGCCTTTAGGAACCCCAGAAACTGGCAGCGTGGAAGGCTGGAGATACTGTACCTAAGCTCTACTGAGATTACAAATTGTGCTTTTCTAAATCATGAAAACCTTGGGAGGGGGAAGCCAGAGTAGCTGTTTGAAAGGAGCAGCCAGAGGGGAGCCAGGCAGTGTGTGCAGCACAGCTGGAAGGAAAGGGGATGTCTGTTCTGTTCCAGGGCAGGACCTTCAGCATCTGGCGGCTCAACGACCTGCGCGACCTCAGCGAGTGCGTCTCGCTCTTCCTGTTCGGGGAGGTCCACAAGGAGCACTGGAAGACTGAGCAAGGCACTGTCATTGGCCTGCTCAATGCCAACCCCATGAAACCTAAAGAAGGCTCAGATGAGGTGAGAGGATTTTTCATTCAGCTCTAGATAAAAACCTATAGCTGAACCTTTTCAAATCTGGCTGTGATTTCACTTTATAGCACATCTGCAGGTTGAAATTGCAGCAGTCTGCCCAACAGTTGGAATTGCATTGCATGGTGCATATCTGCTCCTGGCCTCCTGGGAGACTGAACTTCAAGAAGTCCTATTAAGCATTTAAACCCAGAGTTTATTCCATTTTTCATCTGCTCTTGATAGCAGTTGGCTCTTCCACAAATATAGAGAGTGTATTTTCATTTCAGTTTATTCAGCTACTTCAGTGTAACACCTATTTCAGCCTAGAGGTCTCTCAAAGCTGAAAAAGGTGGAAAAACACATTTTCTCTCTTCCAATTCAAGCATGAGATATGATTTCAAAATGTTTCTGGTTCAAAAATCACAACAGAGAGGCAGCAATATTTGATTTATTAAACAAGCAATGTATTGTGTAAATAAATGTCAGCTGATACATAGTAGTTCACTTGCTTAATTATTTATAAATGCAAACATGCAGAACATTTAAGATGGCTTCATTTTGCTAATAAATTAATATATTTTTAATTGCACTGGAATGGAACCTGTTTCAGTTACTTCTGTCAAGGGAAATTTCAGTCTAGTAGCTGACCATGTAGTGTTCTGCATGTTAAATTCTCCAAATAGAAAAATTAAGGCTCTCATTAATTGTCTTTTAAGCTATATAATTGCTTAAATTAGCATGAATAAGCAGTAGACAGTCCCATTGGTGAGCAGAAAAGCACACCAGATTTAATAGGAGGGCTGCATTTAACTGTCAAGAATGGCTCTTCCCAGCTAAAATGTTCACATTTATTACTGCATTAAAACTGACTTCTGAAATTGTCCCTTGGCTACAGACACAGTCCCTGTTGTATCTGGTTGTGTGAAGCAGACACTCTTCTTGCACAGGACTCAGTTTTGATCAGACCAAGACATTTGGAGAAGGACAGAGAGCCCTGGTACTGCTCTTCCTCCCATCCCTTGCTGGATGTGGGGGTCATGGTGGTATCAGAGCCAAGCAGCTGCACAGGAGCATTTACAGCACAATCAGAACTGCCTTAGGTGTTCTTTGGTTTCCTGAGGCTCTGAGCATAGAACTTATATGCCTTTCTTCTCTTTGTGAGAAATAAATTCATTTTTTTATTTTTAACTGAGTCATTTCTCAATCTGAATAGGACATGTCACTTCCTTAAGCTAGGCCTGCATTTTAAAACTACATTGTTAGTACCAGAGGTACCGAGCCAGATCAGGGACAAAGCAGTGACAAAGAGGTCTAACCAGGAGTGTTCTGTTTTCTGTCTAGGTGTGTTTGTCCATTGACCATCCCCAGAAGATCCTCCTCATGGGAGAAGCTCTGGATATGGGCACCTGCAAAGCCAGGAAGAAGAATGGTGATCCCTGTGCACAGATTGTGAACCTGGTCTGTATCTCAGTAGTCAGGGCATTTCTAAGCTGTTGGTGAAAATCTGGCTGCTGATTTTCTACTGATACTTTTTTACTTGTTTCTGGATCTTGACTTGCACCTAACTAAAGTGGGTGGAGAAAGTGAGAAATGAAACCCAGAGGAGCTGTGTCTGTGCTGTCACTGTGCAGGGGATTTCCCTAAATGCCAGGTTGGTGCTGCAGTGAAAGGAGATGGTCCTGACCCATGATACCACCACACCCTTTCACTCTCCTTTGCTCCAGTGCAAGCTTCCATGCACTGCACTAGAAAACTCATCCAGAGAAAAGCAACACAATTTATTTTTTGGGAATGGCTATTTTTTGGAATGATTTTCACCCAATGAGCTCCCATGTCCAGCATACCTGCAAGCTGTTAGGATAATTACACCTGAATATGGGGCACTGGAAATGAGAGAAAAAAATTTTGGGATCCTTCCTTTGGGACATTACTGACTTGTACTAGTTTAAAGGATTGTGCATTATGTTACTTCATGGCTATGGTGATACTGTGATACCTGAAAGGGAACCTTGTCTGAGTCAGAAGGGTTGAAGACAGTAGAGTATCAGAAGGAGGAGAAAAAATGAAGGAATGAAGAACTGGGAAGAAGAAAAATAGAGAAGGAACTTGTAGCCAATCGAGACTGTGATTGCAGACCTACTTTAGGAGCAGTCTATGCAGACAGTACATAAAACTGAGTAGAGTCAAGAATACAGAATCTGGGCAAGATGTCCTGGGTGGGAAATGAGCTGACTTCAAGGAATGGCATTAAAATTCTTTGATGCACAGGTTTGTTTCTAGTGATTAGTACAGGCAATTTTAGCTTTGTTTTTTGTTGCTCGAGTGTGGGCATATTTTTGCTTAGTTGATCAAATGCCGGAATACCACAGTAGAGGTGTTACTTCATTTCAGCCATACCAGGATGCATGTGGGGGAGAGGAACGAAGGGAATTGTAACTGCTGGTGTTGTGTAACAGGCTCCTCCTGTTTCTTTTCAGAATGACTGTGAATACTGCCAGTACCACATCCAGTCCCAGTACAAGAGGCTCAGCTCGAGGCGGGCAGATCTGCAATCCACCTTCTCTGGGGGCCGCACTCCCAGAAAAGCCGGTCGGAAAAATCCCACTTTGAAGGAGAGGCTGTGCCAGGATGGCTTTTACTATGGAGGAGTCTCTTCAGCAGCATATGCAGCCTCAGTGTAAGATAAACCATTTCTTTCCCTTGCTTTTGAACAGAATTTCCCTCATATATACTGAAGCTATGTCTAAGGGAGTCTATTCATTTAGAGAATGCCTTTGCCTTAACTACATTCACCAAGCAGGAATAAAGCCCCACACTTGGCATAATCCTACTGGCCACACAGGGTGGCAGAGCTGCTGTTTGACAGGAAAATTTTAAGTTGGTACTAACATGTGGTAAGGGTTGTTTTTACCTCTACATAAATACTGTGGTGTGAAGCCAGGCAGCTTTGTGTTTCAGTAGATTAATGGACTTTGACATCATGAGATCCCAAGCATTTCAGTCTCTGAGATTGTAACTGTATTTTCTTATGGCTTACTGCATTTAATCCCAGAGTCAGTGTTTTCTGTATTTCCTCATGTCTTCCCTGGCTGAAATAATACAGTGTCACTCTGGGTTAATGAGGAAACAGGACTGACCAAGATCAGTAGGCATCTCATAGGGGTCAGGTCCTTTATCCAAATCCCATGAAGACAGCTGTGGAAAGATGAGTCACAGCTGGATCCAGCCCTGTGCTTGGACACAGCTTTTATTCTCTTTCCACTGCCCTCTGACACCTGGTGTGACTCCACAGTAATGAAGCAACTTCAACCTTCTTTCCATCCCTGGAACAACCTGTGAGCAAAGCAAAGCTTTGATCTATGTTTAGCTTTCCTGTAATGCATAGGAAATCCATATCTCAACAAAGGGAGAAAAAGGAGATCCTAAACATTATGCTGGAATTTGGATTTAGATTCACATCCCTCCAAAAACCAGACAGCTGGCCCTTTAGGGTGGCTGGAGTTCTGTTGTAGCACTGGGCTAGTGTTCAGGCTTCTGTCCTTGCTCCAAGCAGGGGAAAACTCTGATGTTGTACATTTGTTTCCTCTTTCTAGTGCTGCAGCTGCTGTGCCAAAAAGGAAGATTCAAACCACTCTCTCCAACCTGGTCGTGAAAGGATCTGATGCAATTGTCCAGGAAACCAGGCAGAAAATTGGTACCCAATTACTCAAGTGGTCTCTTCACTCTTTAGATGTTCCCAGCTTGATGTGTAGATGTGTCCCAGGGCCTTCTAGTCACTAACTGAACCTGGCAGTCACTTTGCTGCAGAAGGGGTCATTTGCTTCCTTAGTTGGTCAAAACTCCTCCTCCCCCTTTAGATCACAGTTTCAAGGCAAATGTAATAAGCAGCTGTGTGGCTTCATGGATCTTTTTTTCATCAGTGCCCCCAAATTAAGTCTCCTGTTCTGTCATTGGACAGTGACAGAAGATCTTTGCCAGATTAATGGGAATTGGAAGTTTTAAGAACTTTGAACCAGAGGATTTATTTTATTTGATTAAAATAAATTACTTCTGCCACCTTGAAAGCTTCTAAGGAATACTAAGTATAAATCAGTCAGGCCTGCAATGCAGGCAACCTCCTGAGAACCCACCTTGTTTCCAGTGCTTTTCTTTTGTGTCAAAGCATGTTCCTTTTGTAGCCCCTGGGATGTCATCAGTCTTTCCTGCCTCTGTTTTGTTTCTGTAAAGCATTTAATATTACACTCTTTATGTTCCTTGGACAGCAGGTGACAGATTATTCAAACTATTCTAGGTGCCACTTAGACTTATTTACATCTTTCAGTTCCATCTGTTGGTTGCCTCCATTTCAGACAACACAGTGTATGTCCATGGCAGCTTTTGGCTGCTCTGAATTCTCCAGGGATAAAGTGTGGAGCCTTCACGATCCTAAAAACAGGAATGGTGGGAGTAACACAGACAGCCAGGGCTGATGAGGAACTGAGTGATTGAGTTGCTGAAGGGATAGAAATGTCTGTGACAAATGACAAGACCTTGGGCAACCAAATATAATGTAAAGGTTGGTCTTGCTTTGAGAAGTGCTCAGCTGACCTGCAAGGGTTTCTTCCAACCTAGACAAGTTTACATCTCAGAAGCCAGGCCTGCTTCCCTTCCTCAGGTCAAATCTGTTGTATTTCTGCTCCTCCACTCAGGTGCAGCAAAGAGACCCATGCAGTGTTCTGAAGAGTTCAGGGAACTGCTGGCACAGCCAACTTTTGGGGCACGAAACCTCTGCAAACACTGGACCAAAACAGGTACTGTCCTTTTGCCTGAAGGAAGACCCACTCCTAAAATCACTCTACCTCCTTCTGAACAAAGTGGCCTTTTATTTTGCTTTATTATTTTTTCCCAGATGCTGAAAAGAAGCAAGGGGCAGATTTCCAGTCTATCTCTGCTTCAGCCCTGCTCAAGCAACAGAAACAGAAATTGTTGGAGGCCAGAAAAAAGCGATCTGAAGAGATTCAGAGGCGGTAAGACACACACTGGCTTTCACAGGAAGGTTCTATTGTTGTATCCATAAGGATAGCTGTGTTTTCACTTCTCAGCTTTGTGTGATGTCTCTCTCTGATTTGAGCTTTGAAAACAATTGGTCTTGTTCAAGTCACTCTTGATTTCAGTGACCCAGTGAGTCCTTTACCAGTCTTGTTTTCTTCTGAATGCCAAAATTGCTGTGTGTTTCTTTAGCAGTTAAAGGCCAATTAGTAAAAAATCATAGCCTGCATCCCCTCCTATTTGTTTCTTATACCTTTTTCTCTGTGATTTATGTCTCTAATTGAATGAATTATTCTTGTCTCACAAGGTTTCTCCAGAACACAAGTAAAGCCAGCACTCCTGCTCTCCCATCCTCCTCCAAACAGACCTCCCTCCATTCCCCAGTGCCTGGGGCAGAGTTTCCCAAAGCTGCAAAAATGTCAACTCCTCAAAGGCCCAGGCTAGGCACAGGCTTCTCAGAAGGAGAAGATATCCTCTTCTTTGACAAGTCTCCTCCTCCAAGGCCAAAGCTGGACAGCTTGGCAGAAGCCAAAAAGGTACCAGCTCTTTGGATCTTTAAAGTATTAAACAGAGGTTAAGGGAAACTTGGTTTGTGATAGAAGAGGAGTCTTTGGTCAGCTCAGTTCTGGTGTTAGTGAAGTTTCTCATTTGTGGGATCACTCTGGCCATATTCCAGCACACAGGATAGCTGTCAGTGCCAAAGTCCATGCTGCCATCTTGCCTTCAGTCAATCTCTTGAGGGAAGGGATGTGTGCTGAAAATCCCTGGAGTGCTAAACTCTGGCACTGCTAGTGCAGTGTATTGCAGGTGTTTTGTTTGACAGGTGGGTAAGCAACTGGTTTAGCTGTGTTGTGTCTTGAGTCTGGATAATTTTGTTTTCCAGCCAAAACAGACTGCATCTTTTTTTGGCAAAAATATGTTCATTTGTTTGTCAAAGAAACTTTTCCAGCTAGAATGAGGAAGTCTTAGCATTCTGGGAGTATGAGAAGGAATAGTTGTAATAAATTTTTTATTAGTTCCTAATTATTGTCAATTTATGTGGCAATCTCAAGTGATTTGATTTCTCTGAAAAACTTACTGATGTGTGAGGCAGGTAAAGCTGAGCTGCAGAGACACCAGGCCTGGTAACACCTGTGGAGAGGTGATTTCTGCTTCGGGAAATCACAAAAGGTTGGGTGTGTGTCAGAGCTGGGAATTCTGCTGGGCCTCTCTCCAGGCAGCCCCATGGTCAGGCCAGTGGATGTTTTCCCAGCTGACAGCCTTCCTCTGCTAGTTCTGGAATCAGGAGCTGGAGCCAGGTCACAAACATTTCCCTGCTCTTTCTGTTTTCCAGCTGGCTGCCATCCGGCGACTGCGAGCCAAAGGCCAGATCCTCCCCAGAACAGACCCAAACAGCGTCAAGAGGAAACGAGCTGATGCTGAGGATGTCCTGGAAATTGTTGAAAGAGTTGAGAAAAATGTTGCTCAGCCACAAGGTGCAGAAGCAGGCAGTGGTATGTGCTGTTAGCTTCTAGAATAGAAAAATGTGCTTCTGTCCTACTGACAGAGCAGGAGTTGCTCTGGGTTAAGGATTTAATTGCTGTGCTAAAAAGAGGCCAAGTTAGGTCTGTTTGGAACTTCAAGGGTTTGTTGGAAACACTAAAAAAATCTGTAACCCTGTGGAGAAAGTGTGAGATGTAATCTCTGATATCTCCCTGTGCTCATCTCTGTTCCCTTTCTTCTGGCACTTGAGCATCTGCTGTGCAAGGCTGACTTCACCAAGGGAAAACAAGAACCCTCCCACCTGGGAAGGTTTCTGAATTTTTTGTGGGAACTTGAGTTTGCCTGCTGGTGATTTACTGTGTGATCTTGGATGAATTGTTTAATTCCCTTTAAAGTTTCTTCATCAGTCAGTGAGGGAACACTGCTTGCACTCCTGGGAGCAATGTGAAAATTCCTAGTACAGTGCTTTGAGAGAAGATGCAATGTTATTTTTAAAAAATACTTTTATTTTTTCTGAAGCCGTATTTGAACTTGTTTTCATGTTCCCAAACTATGAAAGGCTGCTGTTTGACCTGAACATCTGCCTGAGAGACCTGAGACTTCCAAACTCTCCTGCAGTGAGCAAGTTCAGCCATCACAGCCTTGTTTTGTAGGACTGAACCTTTTTGTCTCCCTAGAAATGGATGAACTGGAACCTGCCCAAAAGAAGCGGCGTGAGCAGCTGGCCTATCTGGAGTCAGAAGAGTTCCAGAAAATCCTGAAGGCCAAGTCCAAGCACACAGATGTCCTAAAAGAGGTATGGCCTCCATCCAGCTGTGACTGAGGGCTTAGAATTGGGAGCTGACTGGACTCCTCATGATTTCAGCCAGAAGCAGGCACCCAGCATCTCCCAGGCTCCAGACTGTCCTGAGGAGCAGGGCTGGGTGTCTCTGGCACACAGGGCACAGTGCCTGCAGCTCAGCACTGCTGCCAGAGCCAGGGTAAGGCCATGTTGCCAGTTGACACCAGTTTTATTGTTGTGTTTGGACTAATCAGTGAAGTTTCCTATTGGTGGATAACCAAAAAAATCCCTCTGCCTTCAAATCAAATGAGCCACGTGCCTATTTTGTCCCTCATTACTTGGCATCTTGGCCACACAAAGCCAGCTGCCACCTTCATCTGGGGCTCATGTCAGCTGTGAAATGCCATCAGGTGCCCTGCACAGCTGAGAGCTTGAGTTTGTCACACTGGGGGGTCTCTGCTGAGCACTTCCCCAGGGTTACAGCACCTCCAATGGCACAGGGCTCTTGTCTTGGACACTTATTGACAAGTCATAGTTGTTTTAAGGTCTTCTGGGGAGTAATATTTTGGCTAAGAACCCATTCCATTGATTCCATCTGGCTCCCTGACTTCTCTGCACTGTCCTTGTGGCTCTGTGCTCATTTCAGTACTTCCTGCTGCTGCTAAACCTTCCCACTCTGCATTTCAGAGCTGGCTTGTGTCAGTGCTGTGAGCTGCAGCACGTGTACAATAATGGATTGTTTGAAACAAGAGATGTTGTGTTTCTCTGCTCCCAGACTGCAGTCTGCTTCAAGCAGGCCTGATAATAATTTGCCCTAAGGCCATTTATGGAGTGGCTTCTCCCCTCTTTGTGTCCTCACAACCCATTTTGTGTGCCCCACAGGTTGAGGCTGAACTGCAGGAGAAATACTTTCAGCCCCTGGTGAAAAAGGAAGAACTGGAGGAGAAGATGAGGAACATTAAAGCAGTGAAATGCCGAGTTGTGACATGTAAAACAGTGAGTGAAGGGGAGCCAGGGTACCAGCAGGGGAGTGGAACATGGATCCTACAAAATGGTGCAGGACTATCCTGCAGACTCCCATCTGCCACTCTCTTGGCTGTGGTCCAGGGCAGGGATTGATGTTTTGTTCCTCATGCCTGTAGCTGAGAGCAGCTCAGAGTGACTGAGCTATGGCAAGGCTTCAGTGCTTATGCCAGTGGTTCCATGGGTATTGCTCTCCTGAATTTCTCTGTTTCTTCATTAAGTGCTTTGTACCAGGAACCCTCAGTTCTCCATATTTCATGAAAACATAAGCAAAGTCTTTGAAAACATTAACACTGGGTGGGAATTCTCTATCTGCATTTCCAGGGACTTGGCCATCTGGAAGAGGAGTGGAGCTTTCTGACTGTCCCAAATGTACTGAGAGGAAGGGAAGCATCACCTCCAACTTCCAAAGTTTCAGCCCCTGCTGAACTTTCCCTCTTGCTGCCTTCCCTCCCTGTTTTGGGATTGCACAGAGGGACTTGTGTCCCATGAAGTGCTGGGAGCAGGACAGGGTGGTGGCAAGGGGAGGATGGCATTAGAAGGAGCAGTGACAAAGCCTGGGGTGGTGATCCAACTGCTGGGCTCCTCAGGATGGGAGAGGACAGGGATGCTTTCCTCTGAACACTCAGCTGTTGCCAGTCCCCAGAACAGGTCTCATACACTCTGTCTCTCCTCCCTGACAGTGTAATTACACCTATTTCAAGCCTCTGGACACTTGTGTGCAGGATAACCACAACTACCTCTGGCATGAGGCCATCAAGAGATTTTTCAAATGTCCTTGTGGAAGCAGAGCTATTTCCCTTGACAGGCTTCCCAAAAAGCCCTGCAGGTAAGGAATGAGCCTGATGAAACAGTGACTGGGACTTAGGGACTGTCCCTTCACAAGTAACTTGTTGTGAGTCACAAAACCATGTCCTAAAAGGGGAATGTTATCCCTTGTGCCAAGGAGCATGGGCTGGGTGTGGGGCTAATTTAGGATCCCCCATGCTGTGTAGCAAGCACAGCACAGTGATCCTCACTTCCATCTTCATCTTGCAGTAACTGTGGCCTCTTCAAGTGGGAGCGAGATGGGATGCTAAAGGTGAGTGTGAGTGAGCACCTCAGCACTCTGGCTGCTTCCTGTGGCACTTCTGTCCCCTCTTTGCTTCTGTGCCCTGTCCCCCTCTTTGGTTCTGTGGCCCTGTGAGCTCCCAGCAAAGCCAACAGCTCTGCATTCTGTCAGGTACACACAGGTGCCTGCAGGCTGTGTTATAGTGCACTTCTACCTTTTGCTTTCTGTTCTCAAAGCTTTGTTTTATTTAACTTGGGGAAAAGGCATTTGAACAAAGTTATAAGAATTCAGAATGTCAAGGTGCCTAGAGGGTCTGTCAGTGTTTAGTCAGGTAATTTAGCCCTACCACAATTTACCACAATTTCTGCCAGAGAAGTGTTTGGGAGATCCTACCACACATTTAACTTCTCCATGGTTCATGTTTCCAGGAGAAAAAAGGTCCGAAGATTGGTGGAGAAACGCTTTTACCAAGAGGAGAAGAACAACCAAAGTTTCTCAACAGTCTTAAGTGACCTGGAGTTGATTTTTTTCTATAACATATGGATGGATTTTTGTGTCTGAAACACATTTATACTGGACTGCCAAGAGGATTCGAGTTTTAGTGATGAATCAGTAGGGGAATCAGTTTTTGATGAAAAGATCTTCTGCCAAGGGTCCACCAGGCTGCACTTTGATATTTTTTAATTGACTGAGGAAGACTTCATGTGAAAGGCAAAGTCATGCCTGTTCTTTCCAGCTAACAACATCAGTGACCTCACTATTAGGTGACACATCATCATGAATGGGAATGACTGTAGATTCCATAAGCACTTATGAAATTAATACCCTGATGTGTTCATGCCAACCTGTCTTCAGCTCTTGGACAGAAAGGGGTGTGAGAGGGTTGTAGGCACAGAGAATTCTCCACTGGCTTCAAAATTGCTCACACTGAACCCTTAGAAATAGATGTCAAACTGATATCCTGAGTTTTTCCTTGGCTTAACTGTAACAAAATCCTCCCAATGGTTTTGGCCCTGCAAGGCAGCAGTGTTTGTGCTGGAAACTCAGAGCTCCCTGTCCCCCAGCACCATCCACACTACACAGCTCTTGTGGCTACACACCTGTAGCTCCCACTGTGAAAAACATTTTAATGAGTCTGGCACCACTTTGTGAGTGGTTTTAAAGAGCTGAGTGATATTTAAAGGTTTTTACCCCTTTTCTGGTATATTAAATAGGAACAGTAGCTGTGGCAGGATGAAATCTCCCTCCAAGAGGTGGTTCCTGAGAAAAGCTGTCTCCATACAGGCATTTTTCTGACAGCACATCTCTCTAGGGATGCCTGGGGCATTTAACCAGCTTTTCCTGGACCTGAGCCTTTTCCTGCCCCTAGCTCATGCCCAGTAGGATCACAGGATATTTTTAGGTGCCTAAACCCCCCCCAACCTTAGTGATTTGACCAAAGTGCCCCTAAACATCTCACATGTCCCAGTGGTCTTGTCAGTGCCTCTTGTCTGCTTGCACAGGGGCTGGAAGAGCAAATTCTGTGAATCTGTTCATTTGGAGCAAAGGGACAGATTCACCTCAGCATTCTGCAGCCCTCATCTCTTACTGGTGCTTTTATTGGTGCAGCTTTGCCTGTAGCATTGATTTCAGTCCCTGTTGGTACCATTTGCTGAGTGGGGTCACTGCTAGGGGACAGCATCAGTGACTGTGACATTGCTTGGCACCATCTCCTGTGGATCCCTCATTCAGAATAAATAGAGTACAGATTAAAACACTCCCTGAGTCTGCATGGTATTGCTCTGAGGAAGAGGATGAGTTGCTTCCTCAACATTATGTTTTCTCACAAGCTGAGTGCTGAATCACCAAAAGAAACTGGTTTGTGGTCTGCAAGTTCAGCTTTCACAGAATTTGCTCATTCAGACTTAACAGGAATTTCTCACCTGGAGTCCACAAAACCACCATGGAATTCCATGTTGGTATCAGCCTTCAGCCAGCACGTTGAAAGCTTCACACTTTAGCCAGTTCCTGTCTCTTGGGCCCAAGGAAAGGAGATTCTGCAGAAATTAAAATGTCAAAGGAGGGTTAATGCTTTATTTTCATAAATGCCCCCAGGACTGGGATATGTAAGACACGGATCTCCATGGGAGTGAAAGCAATGCTTGTATGCAAAAACAGGATGAAGAAACCAAACCAGTCCCTTTGCTAAAGCTCTAGCAGAAAACAAGGAGTGGGGGACATGGATGGATTGGAATCTGTGTGCCTCACTGTTCTGAGATGCTTTTCTTGTGCCAGAGGTTGCACTACTGCCCGGATTCCTGCATACTCTGCTCCAACAACAGGGAAGCTGGGATCACTCAGGGTGGTCACAGCAGGAGAGGAGGAGAGACTGGCAGGTGCTCTGCCCAAAGCTCTCTCCAGAATGGGCTTGGCCCAAACATCCTGCAGGACCAAACAGCAGTTACTGGATTTTTGGTTATTCAGCCACACAAGCCATAACAATTTCTGAGCCACAGAAATAATCCAGTGCAGCCATTAAAGCTGGTTTTGCTACAATTTAATCTTTATTTCAAAAACAAAATAAAATCCACATTCTCCATCAGCTCTACCAATCACTTCCCATGTAAGCTCATACTGAAACTGATTCACTGGTTGATTTTGTGCAGAAGGATGTTAAAAACCTTAAACACATAATTACACATGGAACTTTATATTAGTGTGATTTTACCAACTATATTATTAGTAGCCTTACATTAATGGAGTATCAGCCCAGAAGTACATCAAGAGAATGACTAGAAAAAATAAGTAATGCACAACTCACCATATTATTATTAGGTAATCATTTGATTACCTAAACTAGCTGCAGCAATCTGATTTTGTAGGTCAGGTTTTCTTTGAAGTCCATTAGGTGTTCAGCCTTCCTGCACCTATTTTGTATTAGCATGAAATACTTTTGTAATGCAGTGTTTGGGACAAGTTCCTTACACAAGGGGCAAAAAGCACATGGATCTGGCTCTTATGTTCTCCATCCTGGTCTTTAGAAGTCACTTTAAAGATTGATTCTTTTTTCTTACACTATCTTTGCTCATTTCTTCCTAGCTACCTTCATTTAAAAAACCCACAAAACAACAGCAACAGCAAACCTAGAGAACAGCATCTTTGAATGCAGTGTTTCCTGCCTCTTCCTGGTATGAGCAGATCTGTTTGGCCATAAAAACACCCATTAACTTATTCACTGTCTCTTCAAAGTCTCAAACAGAAATGGACAGACAACACTAAATGAAATTAAAAGCTACAAGCTCCAAGGCACAGAACCCTGCTTGGTGTAAGCCAAAAGGCTCATTGGATTGATGTGGTGAGCAGAGAAGGCACTCAAAGGGGTGTTTTATAAACTATATCCTCTTCTTGCAAATCCAGTTACAGAGGGATTGAATAACAGCCTCTCCTATCTAAACACCTGCTGGCACAAGCCCATCCTACCTGAGTTGATTTCTGCTGAAAATAAGCAAAGAGCGTGGATGAAATCAATCTGGCAGCCCAGGGGTGGGAACAGTGATGAGTAGAGCTGGATCTGCAGAGCTCCTGGGCTGATTTCCAGGGATGTGAAGGGGCTGTCTGGAGTAAGGGTCCTTCTCCAGCACACGCAGGCAGCAAGAAGCATTATCAGCAGAAAAGCCAAAATTACTTTTGAGTTACAAGATAAGGCAGTGATTTAAGATTAGCACAAGGTCTGGAGCAGAAACCCTTTTATATTTTGCATGTCCAAATTCAATTACTTCTTCCTCCAGCTGCTCTTGGATCATGGTCTTAACATCCCTGCAGCAGCACTCTAAGCTGGTGAGGTGACAGCTGTGAGGACACTGGGCATCACTCACTGCCACTCTGATTATAAATGACTGCTGGAAAAGGATCTCCCACATCCCAGATCAGCTTATAGAGTCAAATCTACTTTGAAAAAACTATAATGTAGTTAATTAAACTTGCTTTTCCTCCTCATTTCTCTTGCATGAAGTAAGACTTTGATCTACAGCACCAGAAGCCAAAGCTGGGATGCAAAATCCTTCCTTTGGCACCTACCCAGTGTCTTCACATCAAAGCGCCGAGCGTGCAAGCGCTGTCTGCAAGGTCAGGAGTCAGACTAAATCTGACATTTCTGAACTGTTAGTCTGGAAAATAGCACATAAATTCTGAGCAGAAGATCTTCTCTGTGTTTATTGTCTTTTACCAAGCTGCAGGAAGCCTTTGTTTTCAACACATGTGAAATGTCAAGGCAGGAAAAAAATGTGTCTGAAACACTGGGGCTTCATGCAACTGCAGATGGCCAAATAAGCAGCCAGATGTCCAATTTTTATATGGTCCTTTTTGAAAATTGGATGCTGCTATTAAAAAAAAATTGTCCAAGAAGGGCTGACATGGTTAAAATAACCTGCAGGAACATGAAGTTAGTTGGGAAGAAAATTTTAGATGTAACATGCTGTGACATCAATTTAGGAGCATACATGTACCTCCAACATGTGAACCTGCACACCTACAGCAAACCAAATTATAAGATCCCACCAAGCCAGGGCTAAATTAAAACACACTATTGCCAAAATAAATATTTTGCTTCTCTAAAATACCCAGCAACCCAAGCATTTCATCAGGTTCTGCATTTCCCTGTCTCTTGAAGCTCTGCCTAACAGATTTGGAAGTTTATTTCTCAAAGTGTTATTGCTACAGAGGAGTTATCCAGCAACACCACACATCCATTCTGGGAGAATCCAGCTTCACCCAGCTGTTCTGCCCAGCAGAGAGCACAGCCTGCCCCAGAGGGAGGTTACCCAACAGGGTGTGGGAAGGAATGAGGACACAAGTCTCTTATCAGGGGCTGAGTTTGGATGATCTCCAAGTTCGTTGATGGGTTTGTTCTTCTGAAAGAGGCATTGTAAGCTGAAATCCATAGGCAGAGGTGCATAAATTTTTAAAAAACAAAGGTAAACTTCCTTTCCTTTCCTAGCTATAATAAGAGAAATTCAGTCTTGAAACTGGGAGTGTGACACCTGTAGCTCCTCTCTGTGGTCACAGCTCCCTCTGCAGTCAACCCAGCTCCGCCAGTGACACCAGACAGGGAAGTCTCCATCAATCCTGTGCTGTGAACCAGACAGAATGCACCAAGTTCTGAAAATCCCATGGAAGGACTCAGCAAAGCCACCAGAGGGATCTCCAACTCGCTGGAATCACCCACCTGGGCCCTTGCTCTCCACAGGAGCTGATCAGTGCCAGGTTATAGAGGGCATGGGAACCAGGACACCCAAAATCACCCACTGAGCCAGGCTGGGGGTCTGTCCTTAGTGACCCCTGATCAGAATTCTTGGTGTTGTGGTCAGACCAGAGGCTGCTGAGAGGTTATGGCTGGCTCCAGGTGGGAACCACAGCCCAGACACCTCACTCCAGCAGCAAAGGTGCAGGACCAATACCTAACTGTGCTCAAACCTCACCTTTAAAAAACAAACAAACAAACAATAAAACCTAGAAATGCTGCATGAAGATGAATCACAAAATGAGGCAGAAGGTGCCACAAGAGCCCATCTCTGCAGCCTTTGGTCCTGTTTTGGGTGGAATGGAGGGGAGTGGAAACAAGCTGAGGGCTGATGCTTTGTTCAACAACACCCCCAGCACCAGTTTCTGAGCAGCAGCAATGACACAACACAGCCCTCAGTGCAGTTTTGCTCTGGTTTATTCTTTATTTCAAAAAATAGATCCTGAAAGCAAAAGAATCTTTCAGAAAGCAAGGAAAAACACTGTCAAAGGCAAGAGGATCATTTCAGTGTGCATCACTTCACCCTGCCACCACTGCATTCCAGGGAGCATCCAAACACTTCCTCAACCTGGCAGCAGCAAAAGGCTCCTTTGCCCAGACCTCCAGACTCAAAGGATTCCCTCGCTTCACACAGCCTTGGATCAGTTGTGCAAGGCCAGTGGGAGGCTGCTCTGTTGGCCCAGCAGCTCCCAACACTGTCAGACTCATATTTCACCTGTGCCACAGCTGCCTGGTCAGGTGTGATGCCACACCAAGCCATGCTTGAGGAGCTCTGCCAGCAATCATACTCCTGTCCATAAATCCCAATTTTCTCTGTGAGTGGTTGCTGCTTTCTCTTTAGCCACTTCCTTACACTGTTGATTCTGCTGGTACCAACATCCACACTAGTAACTCCCCATGTTACTGAGGGCTTGTCTAAAACTGATTTTTTTTTTTGTTCGGCACAGAAAAGGAAGTTGGAAACACTGGAAATTCTTGCATAAAATCCTATATTGGTATAGCATCATTCTAAAGCTGTGTCATGTTAAAAACTTTTAAGAAATAAGAATAAAAACACCAAGAAAATCAAAGTGTTCTTTCAAGACTTTGATTCTTTGATTGTCTAAGACACCTGCAGCAAATCTGTTTTTCTAGGTTAGGTTTCCTTTGACATACATCAGCTCAGTGCAATTATTGTGAATTAGCATAGATCGATTTTGCAGTGCAGCATTTGGCTAAGTTACCATTACAGAGGTCAGCAAAGGGAATTCTGCCTGTCCACAATTTGTGTTCTTCCCTCAGAGAAGCTCCTGCTCAGGGCCATGGTTTCCATCCTGCTCTTCTACAGGTTGATTCTTTCCCCTTGCACAAGCCGTGCTCGGAAGTTCCAAATATCCTTCAAAACAAAAATGAGACAAAGAAAAAGCACCTTGAGGGCCAGAAAAAAGTGACCAGGATTCCAGTTTACACAGATGGAAGTAGAGGATTACTTAGTTCTTATCATCTTGTGAAGGTGAAATAAAACCTGGGCACTCCTCTGGGAGAAAACTCCAACTCTGGCTAAAAACAATCCTTAAAACTGCACCAAAACACAGAGATTTCTCTGGGGTTTATAAGAACAACTTCATCTCAATAACCCCAGGAACTGAAAGCCAAGCAAGCTGTGGCTTTACAGCCATGAAAGATCAGCTTGCAAAACACAGCTGGGCACCCCAAAACACCCAGGCACACTGGGGGAAACACACAGAACAACACAAACCAGCAAGGGTGAAATGTGGCAGCAGCTCTCTGGCCACAGAGAGCAGCAGGCACAACTTTCCCAGGCATCATCCTGGGAAAGGCTGGGAGAAGATCAGAGAAAAGAATGATAAACAATTCTTATCTTCACTTGCTCCACCTGTTGTTGTGAAGATGTGGAATGTGTCATGGAGATTTGTTTACCAGAGGGTGGTTTCCTGATTGGCCAATGTGATGGTATTTAGATCAAAGGACCAATTGGGTGCACCTGTATCTGTCTGTAAGGGTGATGAGTTTCTTAATAAGTATAGAATAATAAAGTGATTGATCAGCCTCCTGAGACTCATGGAGTCAATGCTAATTGATACCTGGCTGGGGGCCTGCAGTGACAGTGAAAAAGAAAGTCCCCCCTCCAGAAAGCCCCAGATATTGTAAAACAAGTACATTTTAAAATAAAATTGCTGCTTTTACATCTAGACTTTACTGCCTTGATACTGGCTTTGCACACGCTTGGGAACTGCTGTGGATTAAGATATTCAGAACATTTTCACCCCAGTAACAAGGTTTATTTTTCTTTCAGTGGCTGGAGCCCTGAAGAATTCACATTTGCTTTCTATTTTACTCAATGGTCTCAGTTATTCAGCAAGAGTCCATTAGTCCTATTTCTATTTTGAGGCAGATATATATCCCTGCTATAGCCTCGAGTATAAACAACTGATGTGGGATTATATTTAAGCAAAAAAAAAAAATCCATTTGTTATTGTGATCAGATGTGGCTATTTGTTTTAAAAGGAAAATCAACCCACCATTGGTGGGGGGAACTGCAAGAACTGTGGACATAAAAACTGGACAAGCACTGAATTTATTCCAGTTTATAATTTTGAATTCAGGGCAAATGACCACATTTTTTTATTTACAAGCAGAGCTTCTGAAGGAATTTCTGGAGATCATGGGATGTGAAGAGGCTGCCAGTGAACAAGGGTTGTGAAGAGGCTGCCAGTGAACATTCTGAGGAAAAAGGCCCCAAAAAAGCCTGCCAGTCATCCTCTGAACATCAGGTCTTTCATCCTGCCAAGCACCTCTGCCTGGTGCAGCCTGATCTGCCAAGCTGGGCACAGCAAAGAGCACCAGTGTGCCACAGGAGAGACTGGGGAAAGGGAACTGACCTGGTTTGTACCAAAGGGCACTGAGTCTCACCTTGAGCTCCACATCAGTTGCATCATATTTCTTGCAAACCATTTCCTGCAGCTCCTTCTCCAGGTGCTCCTGAGTTGTGTTCTTGACATCGATGTAGTGACACTCTGAGCTGGCAAAGTGGCAGCTGATGCTCTGTGTGAGGAAAGTGGGTGTCACTGTCACACTCACTACAAACAACTCAAAAAGCTGGGAAAAACTCAGGCATTCCAGATTGTGGACACATCACTCCTTCCTTACAGATCATGCCAGCAAAACCCTTCCTCCTTTGCAAGAGCTCTGGAGAGTGTCCCCTTGGAGAAATACTCTTGCTGCTGACTTCCTTCTCTTACTCTTCTTCCTCCCCTTCTCCCCCTCACTCCCTCAGCATGAGCTGTACTGCCTGATCTCACAATATCAGCAGCTGGAGTGGAAATAGGGAGAGTCAGGGCTGGGCCAGACCTGTGTGTGCTCTAGGGGCTCCTGGTTCCTGCACCCAGGGGGTCACAACCCACTTCTTTTGAATCCACCAATAAACTGCCACAGGGGCTGAAAGAACAGGCCACACAACAGGCCAACCAAAATAAAACCAGTGCCTGGATCAATCCCTCCTGAGACAGGACCAGGCCTCCAAAGGAGGGCACTTCTGCCTGTTTCAGTTAAAGAATCATGCATGTCAACAAATGCTTCACAGCAAAATAGGTTGTGCAAAATATTATTTATTGAATTATGGAGATTCCTGTTATCCAGAGATGGGATACCAAGAAGACAGGGTAAAAAGATTAGATAAAGTCCTGATATCTGGGACAGCTGAAAGGGAGCTTTCAGAAAAGCAAGTACAGCCAGACAGGCTTTAATTTAAATGTAGATTCAACATCTAATTTCTACTCCTGTTCTGTTTTTCTCAAGCAGCTGCATGGTGTGCTCTTCTTACAGAAGACAGATGTTTAAAAATAAAATAATAAACAAGAGAGTGCTGAAGCATATTAGGAAGATAAAAACTCTTTAAAACATTCATCCACATATTCATGAACTGAGAAAGGATTCAAAGGGGGTGGAGGATAAAAACAGAGGGATAGTTGGATAATTTTCTTTTAAAAAAATCAAGAATATAAAAAACTATATCAAGAGATGTTTTCCTACCTTTCGAAAACCTGATGTCCTGTTTATCCCAGAGCCATGAATGAGCAGGGGGTGGAAGAACACTGTGTCTCCCTTCTCCATGACAAGGTGAACCTTGGGAATCTTCTCATCCTCATCAAGCAGCCCATGGAAAAGTTTGTTGGTTTTACCCTAGGAAAGAAGATGCTGAACTGAAATCACTCAGCTAGAATTAGAGGAAATGCTGATTCTCAGAGCACAGCAGGGACAGCTTTGGATCTGCTTTCCCCTGGAGAGAATATTCCACATGCCAAGCTAAAAATCTGACTATTGCCTACTAGTCCTTCTACCTCAAGCCTCAGATACAGAAAAATGACACTTTCTGTATTTTCTGCAGCTGGATTTAGACAAAGAAATTCACAGCTGGAGAGAACAGAGAAGAGCACTGGGAAAGCCCACAAGGGTGGCCTGATGCCACTGCTGGAGTCCAGCCTTCTGCTCAATCACCAATGACAGGCCAGGCCAGGAAACACACACTCTTAAGAGGAAGATACCAACTGATATTTTATTCAATCCAGCTGTTTACTGTCACACTTCTCCTCTTTGGGACAGCACACATGCTACCAGGCAGGAACAAGCTGACAGGAGGAGACAGAGCCCTCACACTTGGCAAGGGCAGTGGAAAATGCTGGCATGTGTTTATACTCTCATGCCACAACGTGCTGGACATTTTCCAGGTGAAGGTGGGAACAGAGGCAAATCCACCCTTGTCACATGGAGTGAGGTCACACAAGAAACTCTCTCCCAAATCAATGTCAGTATGTAAGAAAAATGTAAGAAAAAAAAAATAAATCACTGAAAACCTCAGCTCTGACCTGCACATGCTCCCCTATTACAGCGACCTGAGTGGGTCGCTGGGGGTGAGAGATGGACGAGAATCTTGTTTCTTGATCAGAAGGCTGGATTTATTGATATATGATATATAATACATTATAACTATACTAAATAGAATAAAGAGAGAAGTTGCAGATGCTGCTAGCTAAGAATAGAAAGAAAGAATCTATAACAAAGTTGTGTCCAGGGATTCTGTCCCCAGCTTGCTCCTGTGATTGGCCCTTAATTATAAACATGGGAACATGAACCAATCACAGGTGCATCCTATTGCATCCCACAGCAGCTGATAACAATTGTTTACATTCTCTTTCTGGGGGCCCTTGCTTCCCAGAAAAAGAACAAATCCCAAAGAAAGGATTTCTGTGAAAAAATGTCTGCGACACTCCCCTTACACTGAGTCCTTCCCACCCAAAACACATCCCCTTCCCCAGCCCTCCATGAGTCCCTACCTCCCACTGTGGGTAGCCATGAGGCTTCAGGGCTGTCCTGTGTGTCCCTGGCTGCACCACCAGGCAGCCATTGTCCTGGTGAGCCCTCTCCATGGCGGTCCAGGCGCACACGATGCGGGACGCGGGCCGGAAGGGGAAATAGTGCAGGTCCTGGTGCATGGGGTGCAGGAAGGTCTGCTGGGCTGCAACACAGACAGAAACCTGCAGCCCATCACTGTGACACAGCTGCTCCTTCTGTTCTACCACTGTGGCACATCCTAAGGATGCTGGAGACACCTGGTGTACTCAGTGCTGCTCCAGCCCAGCCGTGGAAGCCAAGCCAAGCTTCCATCCCAGCCCAAAATGGACCATGGAGGTGGCTCTTGGTCACACAGTGAAGGCAGCTTGGCCTGTGACCCCTCAGAAAGCTCCTTTTGCTTCCATCCCAGCCCAAATTGGATCATGGTGGTGGCTCTTGGTCACACAGTGACTAAGGCAGTTTAGTCTGTGACCCCTCAGAAAGCTCCTTTTGCTGCCATCCCAGCCCAAAATGGACCATGGAGGTGGCTCTTGGGTCACACAGTGAAAGCTGCTGAGCCTGTGACCCCTCACAAGGCTCCTTTTGCTGGCCTTTACCACCAGCACACATTTTTTTTTATCACTCATTTTGGCTGCTCTCCAGTTTTGAGAACTTTAACCAGCACAGAGTTGCACAAACCTCCTGAGCACAAAGCCCTTCCAACAGCTGTGCTCTCTGCAGGCACTGGATGTGCTGCTGTGATGCAAGCAGAACCAACCCTGTCTGTGCTGCACCCTGCTCATGTTTATTTAGCTTTTTCTTTAAAAGAGGGAAAAAAAATCCTCAATTTATGGACTGCAGCCTCCACAGAGAGTCTCTGCCCTAGAGGCTCTCTTCCATGAAGTCTAAACATAAATAAATATTCTTGAAGTTTTGCTTATTATTTTTTCCCCCTATGGAAATGGAAACATCATCCACACCAGAAAAGCCTTTTATATATAATTTATATACTTATTTGGCCATTGATTTTGCTCCTTAAATAGATACAGTTAGGATATTTCTGCTTGCCTCATTTGCCACACTATTTAGACTTTGTGCAGCCTCTCCTGTGTTTTCTCATCTTGTCTCATTAAACCAAGGTAAAAAGAAAACAAACTATCACCAAAATTGCTTTGTAAATTTTCAATGTTATTTGGATTTAGTTTTTTTTACAGCTTTTCTAAAATACTAAGTTCAATTCTGGCATGCACACAATAATTCATCCATTTTCCACTAATCCAAGTTTTCCTTACCAGAATCTGGAAGTTTATTTATCAGCATGGTGTGCATTGCCATGATGTTTGGCCCTGTGAAGCACTCAACATATTTGAGGACCTACAAAGACAAAAAACATTAGGAAAATAAATCAGAAACATGAAAAACAAGAAGAAATATTGCTGAGGAAGCACTGGGAGCTGGATGTTTGGCTGAAGACAAGGATACAGGAGGAGGAGGTCAGGGAGGATGGAGGGATGCAGGACAGGAGGCAGGATCTGGCTTGGCACACAAATGGGAATGGTGGGAGGAGGCCAGGCGGGAAGATGGCGCTGCAGGCTGCTGAGAGGGGTGGAAAAGATGGGGAGAGTACTCCCACAGAGCTGTATCTGCCACATGGATATTGGCTGCAAGGCTGGACATGGCCTGGGAGAGATGTTTGCCTGGATAAAACACACTCAGAACACGTGGCTGATCTGCCCCTCTAGCCTGGCATGGTTTGGCCAAGTCACATTCCTGACTGGCTCCACACCAGGGGCAGGGCAGCACCAGGGGCAGAGCAGCACCAGGGGCAGGGCAGCACCAGGGGCAGGGCAGCACCAGGGGCAGGGCAGCCCCAGGGGCAGGGCAGCACCAGGGGCAGAGCAGCCCCAGGGGCAGGGCAGCCCCAGGGGCAGGGCAGCACCAGGGGCAGGGCAGCCCCAGGGGCAGAGCAGCACTGCTTTAAGTCTTCTGCCCCAACCTCCATCCATCCCCTGCTCATGCAGAACACTCTTAAAGGCTGACTTATCCTCCTTCCTCACTTGTGTGTTTATGGGAGTGACCTGCAGGGTCAGACACCTCCATGCAGGCCCTTGCACCAGCAGCACCCTTTCTTTGTTTTACCTCAGGCAGAGTGCAGTATCTGAACAGCTCTTCATCTTCCTGGAAGTCCTGCACTTTATTAACCACGCTTTCAGACTGACCAAACTCAGATTTCCGGGATTCATCCTTCATAATCATAACTCCTGGTGGCTTCACCTCTCTTCTGCAGATCCTGGTGAACTCCTTCCTGCAAACCAGAGGGCACATCCATGTTGGAAGAGCCCAATGACCTCCAGCTCCCCAGAGCTCTCCCCAGCCCGTCAGGCAGTGTCTGTACCTGAAGCGCTCGATGTCCTGGTCAGACACGAGGTTCCTGATGAGCAGGTACCCATTGTCCTCATAGAACTGCCTCTGCTCCCTGCTCAGCACAGCGTTGTCCAGGGTGTAGCTGGGACACAAGGGACACGTTAACCACCCTAGGCACATGTTAACCACGCCTGGGGACACGTTAACCACGCCTGGGGACACGTTAACCACGCCTAGGGACACGTTAACCACGCCTGGGGACATGTTAACCACGCCTGGGGACACGTTAAGCACACCTAGGGACACGTTAACCACGCCTAGGGACCAACCCGTGTGCTTGGGGGCATGTAAGAGCTGAAATGAGGGATGTGGGACTCCAGGGGCTCTCCAAAATGCTGTTTATTCCATCCAAGCAGTCCAGGGTTGTGGGTGACAGAGCCTGTGCCTACAGCTGTCAGCTCCAAACCCTTTGGTTTTGGTTACATTGCATTTTATACTTTTCTCTGCTGAGCATCTTCATACAGTAGAACCAATCTATACCTTAACTTTTATCTATAGCCTGTCATAGCTACTATAATTACCATATTCATGTTACTGTTCTCCAATCACTAAAAGTCAGTACATTACAGTTTAAGCTAGAAGTTGCTTTTCAGTTTTCTTGCAGTGGAAAATTCTGAGACCTTTTTTCTACTTGCAACTTTGCTGACTTGTTTGCCTGTGCTATCTTTCTGCTTGGTAAAAACATCTTTTTTGAGGTGGGTTTATCCTTTGCTCTAAGTCATAAAAACCCCTTCTAACTAACAGACCCTTTGCCTCCTTGGTTATGAGTAAGACAGGCTCAGCAATTCTTTTCTTCTGTATCAAAACTTGCTTCCATCTCTATTCCTTCATCAGACTCTACATTTAAAAATCTTTCTGCCAAGCACAAATATCTGTGAGACTTTCTTGTCAAACTTTCATCCTTCCCAACAGGGGAAGAAAGAGCTGAGCTCTGAAGGTTGTTTTGCTTTCATCTCTACCAAGGAAGATGGAGCTTACCTAAACCTCTCTGAATGAGGAGCAACACTGACTTGGGCTGAAGTAGGATTGCTTATCTGGGGTGGGAATTAAGGAATATACAATCAAGCAAAATAGATTGGAACATTATCTACAGGTATGGGTCCTCAATCCTACAGTGCTGTTCATCCTAAAGGCAGGTGCTGTGCTGGACACTCAATCCACATTCTTCTTCGTTTTGCTTCCATAATAATAAATTATAATAAGAAATATTCTATAAATGAAAAGAATCTGAAACAATAAAGGAAGAGGAGTAAACCTGAGGCTTCATGTTCTCACAGAGTGTTGCAAACCCTCACCTTCTCTCCAGTTACTGCAGAGATCAGGTCCCTTCCAAATGACAGGGATAGCAGGAACAGAGGAGAGCTTTAGGCTTGTCCTCCACTTCAAGTCATTTCAACAGGTTTTTAAAAAGCTTTTTTTTTCTCCTATGCAGAGACACATTCTTATCAACAGGGCAATTAAACCCACTTGCTAAAGAAGCCACACAAGAGCTTTATGCATGGTATTGAAGTATCATCCATAACAAAAATGGGCATCTTCATGCTGATCTTTTGGTCTGCACATGCATGTTTGCTTCAGGATTTCATGAAAACCACTGACTTTCCTCTACTGCTCATAAAACCCTGAATGCTTTGGGAATGAGAAATAAAGTTTCATCACAGCTGTTGTGTCCCCACACCAGGAAGCTTCAAGAGTCACACAGAGCAGGAGAAGAACAACACATGCAAAAATGTGTGGCACAAATGATGAGAGGGAGGAAAAGGTGCTGGGAACTGGGTGGAAGACAGAGAGAAGAACATGGGGGACCTGCTGCCACAGGAGGTTCCAGAGCAAGGAATCCCTCAACTGAGGGCACCAGTGCTCCACACACACCACATTTCAGGCCTAATTTCAGTGAATAAAGGACTCCTGATCATTCAGGCTCCTAAATGTCCACAGAGAGCTGATGGGGAGACAGGCACTGGCTGAACCCCAGCATGGGACCCTCCTCAGCACCTCCACCTCCCCCTTGAGGGGACAGCAGACAAGCCCACCAGTGCTGGACTCCATTTCAGCCCCTTCCTCCCAGGCTTTCTAGTGCCTCTTCCCCTCACTGGTTTTTCTCTTGACACTTGACAATGTTCAGAGGACAAGCCTGGACTGCCTGGACAACCAAAACCACGAGGCACAGATATTAAAACAAAACCAGCGAACTGATGTACCATTTGATGTACCAAATAAATCATTCTTATCAGTCTGTAATTTACTTTACCCACACACCTTTCTTGCTCCAGCCCAGCTTAGACCAGGTTTTGGTCCAAAGCTATTTGCATCATGACCCAGATTTAAACACAAACAGGTTGTGCAGCACCTCTCCTTACTTCCTGTATGTTACAACCAGGGTGTTTTTCCTATAATTTATTCTTAATTTTGTGTTCCTACTTGTGTTATGCCAGTCTGAGTCAACAACTATCCATCTGCCTTCATATTTTAATTTTATTGTTTTTAATCGATTTGAGGACTTCTACATCTTGTTTGATCACAACCTATTCTATGTATTGTAATTCAGAGGTAACTTGTTAGCATTCTGCTCTGTGAAAAAGCTTTTTTCTAAAGCAACATTTATGACAACAGCTTTAAAAATAATCACAGCAAGCAGACTCCATTTAAGTTTTGGAACTACACATAACAACGCAAAAACTTATTTGTACCCAGGTTTCCTTTGCCTTACGTTGGCAGCCTCCAACATTTCCACCTCGGTTGCCACTCACAAACCAAACCTTGATGTTTTTCCTGCTGCTGCTCTGCCAGTCCGGTGTGTACCTTTCAGCGAAATCTGTGACTTGTGCAACTTCTAAGTCATGCGGAATTCCTTGAATCTCTAGGAGGAGAACTGGCTGCAGGGAAGCCTCTGGCTCGGTGCTGGGGGGCACGGCCAAGATCCGCACCCCAGTTCCCCACAGCCTGCGGGGCGGAAGCTCAGGGAGAGGCTTTGGGATGGGTCAGGTACTGACCCCCAAATTCCACTCGGGGCTGCCAGGAAGCGCTGTTCTCCAGCACCAGGACACAGGGCAGGATCGCCCCGTGTGTCCCTGCCAGCCCGGCGTCCCTGTCGGACACACCACGGGCACACAAGGGCGCGGGGAACGAGGGGCAAAGCGAGCCAGGCTGGGGGAAGCGGGGCCCCGACCCACGGGGGGCTAAAGCGCTGCTGCCGCCCCTTCCCGACCCCACAGCAGAAGGATACAGGAGCCGGGGCCGCTGCCAGCCGCGGGGACAGGTGCCGCAGGATGGTGTCCAGCCGCGCCGCCGAGCGCTCCCCCAGCCGCTCCCCGAGCCGCTCCATGACGCCCGGGCACCCTCAGCGCTGTCCCGGCCGGGGCGGAGCCCGGGGCCGCCGCATGCTCAGAGCCCCGGGACGGCGGTGGGAAGGGCCTGAGGGAAGCCAGGGCGGAGCCGGGAGCCCTCAGAGCCCGGATCCCGCCGGGCTCCGCCGTGCCTTGGGTGTGCAGGGCGGGAGGAGGCCGTGAGGGACCCCGCGCCCTCAGAGCCGCGGGCCGGGAGTGCCCCCGGGGAAAGGGCCTGAGGGAAGCCAAGGAGAGCTTGGAATTTTCCGTGCAGATTTCTTTGTGTTCGTCCTCCCGCTTCCCCTCATTTTCCCGTTCTCTGCCAGCAGTGAATTTCATCAGCCCCGTGTGGAGAGCAGCGCTTGGCACGATGCACTCCTGAGGCCGGCATGGATCGATGCCTTATCTCCCGTCTCTAAGGAGACCGCCAGAGTTCGCCTCATCCCTCCATGAAAACGTTTGGAGAGATTCTTTGAGCCCCAGTGTTTAAACAGATCTCACACCTGCCAGGTTGTCCATAAAACCCTCACTCATGGGCAGTCCAGGCCCTGTTCCCAAAGAGGCACCATCACAGGTCTCCTGTAGCTCCAGGCAGGCCCATGATGACAGAATGTGCAGCAAAATTCTGCTTACAGCTGCTTTAGGAAGCTCAACTCCCATTCTGCAACAGGTTTTGGTGGAATCTGGGCTGACATGTTGGTAGATCAAAAACTCAGCTGTCAATACACAAAGCTTCTGGTTAGTGCTGCAGATGAACAGGAGCCAAGGCATGGTAGGAAGGGTTTCTGTACATGACCTGTATAAAGCTGGTTCCCTTCAAAACCCAGTGGCAAAACTCCTATTGATTTAAATAAACTACAGCAGATTTACAAACTGGTCTGTGGCACATTTGTGTTTATGGCTCTTACAGTATGCTTGGTGGAGTTACTCCCTTCAGGGACCTAACAGAACAGGCTGCTCATGGAAATGGGACAAACAAGGTTGGGAACCCAGGAAAAAAAAACCTCTCTAAACGATTTTGTGTAGTCACAGAGGTAAGAGTACAGGCACTGTGAAAGTACAACAGCAGCAGCAGTGACAGCACCCATCATTGCCAATAAAATCAGACCTTTGACTCCTGAGCCAAAGGAAAACTCTTAGTCATAAGAAAACAGAAAGTTAAAAGTCCTTCAAATCAAACTAGTGAGAGGGAACAGAAAAAAAAAGCAACTAGAGTAATAGCTTTATCACTGAACTCCTAATTATAACCGCATTGAAAGGCCTATATATAATTTAGATCTATGCTGCAATTGCTTTCACAATCCAAACTGAAACAGGAACCTCAATAAATCTCATGTGTTGCAAAGTTTAGGTAAAAGCCCTGTCAAAAAGATGAAGCAGAATAATACTACACATGCCTATTGCAGCATGGACCTGTTTGCAATGTAGATATTTCTTCCACAGGTACATGTTTGACAGCATCTTATGCAAAGGTGTCTTTCATACCTGTAAAAAATAAACAAAAAGTAGGGATTTGGCTGTACTTATTCAGGAGAATCAAGATACTTTTATATATACATAATATACACTTACATAAATATATATAGAATCATAGAACATCCTGAGTTGGAAAGGACCCACAAGAACCATCAGTCCTACTCCTGAAGTCCAGTACAAGACAAGCACAAGAATCCCACCCTGTGCCTGAGAATGTTGTCCAAAGGCTGCTTGAACTCTGTCAGCCTTCTTGGTCTGTGACCACTTCCTGGGGAGCCTGTCCCAGTGCCCAACCATCCTCTGGATGAAGAACCCTTTCCTAATATACTCATTTTTAAACAAGAAGACCCTCAAAAAACCCAATATCTCTGTGCATTAAATACCATTATTCCTTTTTACATACAGCCTCTGTGACAATCTCCATACCAGTGACTCCCGTGTCACTGACTGCCCTGCTGTATTCTGCCACACCCCAAAGAGTTGAGGACACCCTGCCCACCTCAGCAGGAGAGCGGGTGGCCGAGGTCATTGCCCTGTTTTTGTACCCTCCTGCTGAGGGATCGAACTTTAGCACAACTAAAGATCGATCTGGCACTGCCGGCACCACTCAGTGACAGGAGGCTGCTGGTGGTGTAGCCACACCCCCTGGAATTAGAAATGTGTGGACCCCTAAAAAAACCCCCCATCCTTTGCATCTAAACAGTCCAGAGTGAATAATTTTCAAATCCATTGATAAGCATCACTGAAATACAGGCTGAATGTCATGAACCCAGTAAAAGAAACAAGGCAGAAATTTTCTTTGTTAAGGAAACTGATGGTGGCATTAATCATTGTATTAAAATGGATGGCATTTAAGAGAGGCTGTGTCTTTGCAAAGTACTTTTACAACTATGTCTGTCAGTTCCCTGAATTTTATAGAATATTTTTATACAGATGGTTTGCATTTGGCTTTTTGTTTTAATGTTTTCTGTTCATTAAATCACAAAACTAATAAAAACTAAACGATTGAGATTCCTCCAGCAGCACAGGAACATTCCTAATGCACAGTCTTATAATTTAATAAGCATCTCAATTGACTATTAAAATCCACATTATGATCAGAACTGTAATTCCAAAGATGAGGTCTTCTGAAAGCTTAATTTACTGTGGTGAGAAGTGGCAGCTGCTCCAACTCAGCAAAATTAGCTTTTTTAACTGAGATGCCAGGGAAAACAGATGTTGATGAGACAATAACAACAAAATCCACCACCAACGTGCAGGTTCATTTCTCACCACCAGAGGAGTCAAGAAGGGCTTCCATGGATGGTAGAAGGGAGAAGGAGGGAAAGGGAGATATGGATTAATCAGAGAATAAAACAAGGGGCAGAGTGACAAAGGACATGGAAAGGGTCAAGGGTCTCCATGACTTCTCTGCCTTAGGCTTTGCTTTAGTTCCTGGCCTCTGCTGAATTCCAAACTTTCTGTCAGGCTTCTCTGCAGCTGTCCCAAACTTCTCAGCTGGGGTTGCCCACCCATTCCTTATTGACACATCCCTTTGGAAATACCAGACACAGCTGGACCCACCAGTGCTCTGAGCACAGAGTGTAAAAACCCCAGCTGTGGTTGGCTCTTGTGGTGCCAGTGAACAGAAAGGAAAAGTCTCCCTCACAGGCATGTTGTTCTGAGTGATGTCCACAGCTCCCAAAAGGGTTCCCATTCTCCCTCATGACCACCTAGCTGGGAAAAACACCTACCAAAGGGCTGAACAAGAGGGTATTTTATTGCCTTTCCTCTTTCCAAGAACCAGTCACACGGGTTGCAATCACATCTCCTGGTCAGACTGCAGACATGGACTCAGGTGGCTCTTCCCAGCTGTTCACCTGACTTCCAGTGAGACACCAGTGGAGCACTAAATATCAGCTACTGTGTCCACCCAACTCCCCCATGGCCACCCAGGTTTCCTGCCCTCTCACTGCAGCAGTCACATTAACTTTCATTATCTCATTATTAGAAAAGCTATAATCCTGGATTTAGAGTAGAATATGAAATCAAAAAATACCTAACAAAAAAGACCAACTATTCTGTCTTTATATACTGCCAGAAGTTTAAAGTGTTGTTTTTCCCTGATGCAGGGGGGGAAGCAAAACGCTGAGGAAAATAACAGCTAAAGAGCAACAACTGTTACAAACTTTCAAAAAATATATGCTGCTTATGAAATATGTTGATTAGCCTAGTGAATATTTCGATTATTAAATGCTTTCTTTTCAAAGAAAGACAGGTTTTTTTCTCTACTCTTCACAACTTGGATGGAGTTCTGTAAGCAGGAAGGGAACTGATGCATGCAGAGATTCCTGTGTATGCAAAGTACATTATGTTTGTATAAATGACTGGACATAGCTACTAATAACAGCTTTTCACTGTTGCTTTCTCACAGCTTTTTGACACCAGCATCTCAAATCCCCTTTTTTTTAAGAAGGATCTCTAAGCGTTTTGCTTAATGGTGAAGGATTTAGGACTTGCCAGTCGCTTACAAGATACCCTCCTACAGCTCACTGGGATCTCCAATCTCTGATTTAGCAAAACAAACCATAAAACTTGGTCAACAAAGGTGATGCTCACAGAGGACTTCCCAAGTTATCATCACGCACTCAGCGGCGCAGCAGGAAGCACTTTGGGATGTAAATTCCTGCCGTCAGGAGGCACTGGGAGAGAGGTTTATAAATCGGCTCACCCGAGGGTTTTCCTCGTAGCTGTCTCCAGCGGCCGTGACAGGAAATCTTCCTCCGAAAGTCCAGAGAAAAGCAGCCTCCTTGGAGATGGGCCTTCTGCCATTCCGGGCACGTCCAGGCAAGGACAAGTTTGGTTTTACACCTGGCTGATGAAGCCATTATCACAGCGAATGAAAAAACCCAACAGCATCGACCGACAGGGACCTTCTTCTGCCGGAGGGGAACTGACACACATCCAGCGCCACTTTCAACTACAAGTGACCTTTCTGCATGCACTCTCATACAGAAGAACTCAACTGTTCTGCGCCCATTTGATCTACTTAAGAGTTTTTTAAAATTAAAATAACCTATATAGATACAGTCTTGCCCACGACCATAGAGAAAATGAACAGAACAAACATCACCAAACAGAAGGGGAAAAAAAAAAGAAATCAGTATTTTCTGCACAACTGGTTTTTGATGCTTTATTTTCAGAATTGCCATGAAAAACCTAACAGTTTTTGGAGTTTTTTTCTCAAAGCAAAGTCAAAAACTTGGTTACTGCTTTGAGGTTTTGTGGTGAACCCACAACTCTCAGACTTCTTTTCCAGGAAAAGGAGCATGAGGGACTGTGTGGTATTAGCCATTCACAAGGGGGGAATTAAGAAAAAAACCAAAACATTCTAGCTTTGCAAAAGGTGTCTGTTAAAAGCACTGCTGAGTGGAAAAAAGATGAGCCAAGGTTTGCCAGAGATGCCATTAGAGGAAGACTGGAAATTTAAACCGTGCATGATGCAAGACTCGATCTGACCCAGTAACTCGTTTTTTATAGGTGG